TATGGACTATGACGTATGGTATGTTTGACGCTGGCTTTGTGAACTGTTTTGGACTTGTTTAAATCTCTGTGCTGCTTGAACTATTGGCTGAACCTCGGACTGGCTTTGGACTTGACTTGTTTAACCCACGCTCCCTGGCCCTGTCGTGACAAGCATCAAGACGTGTATGAGAGTCAGTTTAGTGTAGTGGCTAGGAGTGCGGACTCTAATATGGGAGAACGGGGTTTGATTCCCCACTCCTCCACATGCAGCTGCTGGTGTGACCAATCTCTTTTCTTCTCTAAGCCACTGTGGTTTTTTCCTATAGCCAACCATGCCAAGTCTCTGGATCTCATTTGTGGCACTGAATTACCATAAGAAATTCTCCAATGAAATATGCCTATTCCTCTGCAGCAAAATGTCTGCTGGCATGGGCTGTTTATCATCCATCTAATGAAATGAGCCCAATAAATATACTGGTCCACTTAATTCTGTTTCTGCCATTGCATAACATGGCTACATCTTGCAAGTTTTTCTTTTTTACAATAAATGAGTATTTCAGAGATAAGGAAGTCTTCCCCCCACCTCAAAAGTCCTGGCTTGCAGCACCTCCTGTACATCTCGAAGGAGGGTGCCCCCTCAGCTCTTCATTCCACAGCCCATTCCACAGCGCTGGAGCCACAATGGAAAAGATCCAGACTCTGGCTGATACCAGATGGGCCTCCCTAAGTGGTGAGAAAACCAACAGATAGCTTACCTGATGGTCATAGCAGGCGCACAGGGACCTATGGAAGGAGATGGTCCTTCAAATATGTGGGCCCCAGGGCATGAAGGGCTTTAAAGTTAATAATGCACCTTGAACTGAACTCAGAAGCACACTGGCAGCCAATGCAGCTGTTTCAAAATGGGCAACATATGTTCTCAATATGTCTGCCACCTTCTGGATCAATTATAGCTTCCAGATCGTCTTGAAGGGTAGTCCCATGTAGAGCACGCCGCAGTAATCCAACTGTGAGGTTACAGGAGCATACGTCAGTGTGGCCAGATCAACTGAGTCTAGGTAATGAGACAGGATGCTTTATCTGTCATTTCATCAATTAATTAGTCAAATATTAAAAAGAATAAGTGATAAAGAGAAAAAAGAAAAGCTAAGTGTACCAACTAATGGAGGAGAAACCTTCCTTTAAAAGTCTACTGGAGAGGAGGGTCAGAAGAAGTAATTTCCAGTAGAGAGTGAACCAAATGAGAACTATGAATCTGGTGCTCTGATTGACTTGGCAATGTTAGTCTCTACAAGATTTTAGAAGGTTTATATTTCTATGCTGCCCTCTGCTACTTTATTGTCAACTCCCAAGAAATTAGAAGGTACAAAAGAATTTACTCATAGGCTAGAAACTATTGCTTCTGAGATGCCCTAACTTAGCTACTGTCTAGGGTTCCTTTCCTGTTTGGAATGCTCACAAACATTCTAGCTGCTGAAGAGCTGTTCAACAGTAGCTATCAGTATAGATATTGTAATGAAAGACGTTTTGACTGTTCTCTGGGAAAACCACACAACAGATAGGGCAGGTTCTGTGCTGCTGTCTGTAAGATGACATAGTGAAAGAATTTTAGGGAAGTGGAAACTGGAGGTTGCTGAATGAATGGAGACACAGCAGTGGCATGAGATTTAGGGATCTGAAGGAAGGGGGAAAAGAATCAGAACAATCTAAGGAAAAAGACATCAAAGATACAGGTAAGATAGTTGGTACTCTGTTGGAAAGAAAGGATGTGGGGAAATTCTATACCTGGGAATCAAGGATACCAAGCAGATGGGGAGCACTGAACTTCAAACTTTTACAATCTGATCATAACCCTGCGGTTTGACACTGACAATTATGAAGGGATGCCACCCACCAAATACCAAATAATCTTCTTTTGCTGCTACTAAGAAGGGAGCAGGAAGCTAATTTCATCTTGGCCCAGGTGAGGGAAGCCCCATTCCAAAGACAACAAACATCTGTTATTGCCGAGTCTAAATTTAGGGGTGTGTTTTGGGGAAGAGACAATTCCCCACCACCACCAAGGCTGCCACAACCCTTGAAGGAGTAGCAGTTGATGGCAGCTGGAACACTAGCACTGGGTGAAGATCATCACAGACTTTCCCGCTTCCTCCATCCTGCTGCCAAAAAACGGAGAGCAAATTCCACTGCTGAATCTGAATATTTGCCATCATATAAGCATATTGCTCATTATTACTGCTACTAGGGACTATTCCTTGGAATTTTTGATCCACTTTGGGAGGCGATCTCAGCTGAAACACAAAGTATAAATACTGTAAATCCCCACCAAGTTCCCAGAGGTAGAGGAGCTCCCTCCACCCACATTCCTGGGTTTTGGACCTTCTGCTCAATAAGCCTCAAGCTTTACACTTTCCATGGAATAATCCAGTTATAGACCATCAACTTTTCCTACATGCATCTGTTTTTCAATTAACGTCTTGTGTAATATTGTTCAGACAGCTGATAAGTGCATCCTATTAAATTACTTTACAGAGACCTTTTGAGCACTATAAACTTAACAGAGGAGTTAAAAGAGCGTGACAGACAGAAAAGGGGGGGGGATGAGACATGCTTTTTTTTTTACAGGACTGGAACCATTACAAACGTACATCCTATGCCAGTGGTTTTCAAACACTGATCTACATATGGACTAATGCCACGTTCCGATGGGCACTGAGAAGTATGCTGCCAGACAGCCAGCTGCATCTTGTTGCTGCTTGGTGGGAAGCTTAAGCCTCTTCCTCCAACAGCAAACAGAGCTCCACCCTTCCAGCAGCAGAAGGCATAATCTGCCTGCAAGTAAGAAAGCCCCTCCTACACAGCAGGGACAAGCTAAACTTGGCTCTCTGTGCTGTGCTAGTACAGCCTGCAAGGGAGCCCCTCTGCCCTCCCCACCTTCCCCCGCCCCCAAGCACAAGGCCAGATGGCAGGCTTTGCTGTGCACGGAAAGAGGAGAAAGTATTGTACTAGCCATGCTCAGCCTTCCCAGTTCTGAGTGGGAGAGGCTGTACATGTGGCAGCAAAAACAGTTTTAGTCTCTAGTGTGAAAAGAGCCACAGAGGAGTCACCTTTAACGTTAGAGGGAACCACTTTGCCTGCTTACTGTATTTCCAGTTTAAGCCACTATATGGAAGGTATCCTGCCATCTGAGCATGCCCTGAGTAACTGCTCCTGTAGAAACATGTTCCAGGATTTTACTGCAATATCATTGTTACGGCATGAACAACTGGCGTCCATGTTGGCACTCTGGAAAATTAAGTGGGATTCCAATACTCTGGAAATGTTTTGTTTGGCAAGTTAATCGCTCTAAAGAATTTTTTTCTGCAAAGTTTAGATTTGCTTGAACCTTTTATATTAAATTTGCAGGAAATACCTTCCAGCCTAAATGTATTACCAGAGATCTGTTCACAAGCTTTTCTACTAAAGAAGGTAGCAAAGTGTGAGAGTGAAACGGGCAAAATGAGACACTAGCAGGGAACAGAGTTAGTCCATGTTTAATGATTATGAATAACAGAATGATTATTTCTCTGATGCTCTTCTCTAAAGCATGTAGGGGCACAGATTCATGTTCTTAGAAAAAAATTAACCCTATGTTTAAAAGAACATGATGGAACTCAACCTGGGCTACATACCCAAGATCCCTTGAAATGGAAAGGTTAGGTCTTAATACATTCTAGACATCCTTTTGTACTCAAAAGGAGAGAGCCAGTTTTGTGTAGTGGTTAAATGCACGGACTCTAATCTGGGAGAACCAGGTCTGATACCCCACTCCTCCACATGCAGCTGCTGGATGACCTTGGGCAAGCCATAGTTCTGTCAGAGGTGTTCTTAAAAAGAGCAGTTTCTATCAGAGTTCTCTCAGCCCCACCTACCTCACAGGGTATCTGTTGTGGGGAGGGGAAGGAGTATGTAAGCCGCTCTGAGACTCCAAGTGAAGGGCGGGGTATAAATTCAATCTCTTCTTCAAGATAAAAGCAACATTCCCAAGGTTTTAGGTTCAAGACACACTTTGGGAGTCAAGACAGAGACCATCTAGAGGAATCTTCTAGTCTGTTTCATCTGAAATTCCACTGTTCCCTGATTTAAATTCACTCTTCTATACAGTTCTCTGATTTACTGCAGGTACTAGTCACCCTACACACTAGCACATATTCATCAAGGTCATCCATTCAAGCCTGTTAATTAGACTTTCAGCTGTGGATCTGGAGGGGGAGGGGGGGAAACTCCTACCTGGAAGGTTCCAGGGATACTGCCCAGTGATTAGTTGAGGAGGTCAGGAGATTATGGCCCACAGTTTTCCATAAATATAGTTAGTGAGAAGAAGTGTTATTCCCTTCTTTTGGTTTTTACCCTTTCCTCCATGCCACCAAGAAGATATCTGTATTATGCTCAATGACCCTGTGCTTCAAGAACCAACTGCATTAGGACTCCAGTAAGAGGTAGCTAGTTAACCTTCTTGTTTTATCTGTGCATCTTACTGCCACTGAACTATATGCCTTTAAAAAACACAAAAAACCTAATCCAGAATTTCTTCAATAAAGCCTTATTTTGCTTTAGTGTGTGTGTGCGTGTGTGTGTGTGTTGCTCAGGGAGTTGCTGATACCAAACAAAGGTACAATTGGTTATGCTACAACACCAAGGCAGGGTCAGCCTTGACATTGGGCTAGAACTTTGATTTAAGGAACATAATAGTCATGTTCTCTGTAGTTCATATGTGGGTAAAAGTTTGCATATATATGAGCCATCTGAAGAGGATCAACACGCAGGATTTCAAAATGTGATTCTGAACATAACTCATAAAGCTTAAATTAGCCAACTGTCTGTCACCCAAACCAGCCATCTAGCCATCTCTGGGTGGCAGATAAAGCTTTTTGAAAAGTGCATGCTAAAACTGCACAACAAATTATAAACTGCAGTAAACAGCCAAGGTGTGTGGCAAAAAGGTATTTCCACCATACAGTGAAGAATTCTCACACTTACTTTGTTAAATAAAGGGATAGCAGCAGATCCAAATAGCTTTCGGACAGTGTAGGGGATGACAGCGTGAGCCTTCTCTGCTTGGAGTACTTGTTCTTCTAGGAAAGAAACATGCTGTCCAACCATTTTAACAAATGCCTAGAGGTGTTAGAGAAGAAAAGAGCTAATGAGATGGAATATTACTAGGTTTCAGAGTTGCCGTGGTTCCATGTCCTAGTGTTACAAAGGAGCACTTCTAGGTAACTGCTTCCTCCAGCAATCATAGTCCTTGTGCCAGTCACACTGAGTCAAGTGCGTAATACCTGCAATCCAGACTGGGGCTGTGCTAATCCCCATTCTGATCACTGCTACTCCATACAGAAGATAAGGAGGATGCTATCAAAGGCAGCTACTATTAGTGCAACACTGTATTTTGATAGTTTGACAACTGTGGTTTTTCACTAGTATCTTCTGAACTTTCTTGAACTGAAGAGATGCAGAACAACTGGAATACAGCCCTATGTAGAATAAGAATTCATTATGGGGGCCATATATGAAACTGTCTTGCCTTCTATCTAAACTTAATAATGGAGATTTTGTGTAGACACAGATTTACTTGCAATACAGAACTCAGAAAATGGTCAATTACAGGCCAGACTAAGAGGCAGCGTTGTTGGTGTCCAAAGGGAATATACTATGCAGCATTGCACATTTTGTGAAATTTCAGACAGGAAAACACCAGCAACCAATAAAAACACTTTTTAACAATAATTATATTGAGAGTACATCAACCAGAAATGCAACATAATGTGGCTATTCTGGCAAATCAAGTATGATTGTCAGACGTTTTGAAGCAAGTCTCCGAATTTTCATAGTTCTAATGCTCCACTTGAATAGACCTATTGGCAAAATTCACCAAAAGCAGAATTCATTTGTCAATTTCACAGGACGTTATCAAAGTGGAAAGTGCATAATTATGCAACTTCAATACAGTATTCTAATCTACTAAAAGACAAATGCTAATGACTTCCTTAAAATGTAATAAAAATCAGCTACATTGACTTTCTGTCTGTAGTACAAATCTCATTCTCCTGGCAGAAAAGCTACATCTCATCACGCAGTGGCTAGATTTGAAGTGTAAAAAAATTCCTTTTTATACATTTTGCTTCTTTCACTTCCAAGTCAGTTAAACACTGATTACTAAACAGATAATACATAAATAATAAGCACTGTGATAAGCATCTTACTATGTTTTGTCCCAGAGGGAAATTTGCACTCAGTCATATAACATATAGTTTGTCAAAGTGAGGACATCAGTCCCATTGCCTGAAGGGCCTTTTGTGCCAGCAGTTTTTAAACTTCAGTTAGAATGTTCATTAATGTTTCATGACACCTCATCTGCTGAACCAATGGCTGGGGAAATCTCATTTCAGTCTACTGAAACCACAGTCTCCCCAACAGTCATAAAAGTTTTGAATATTGCAACCTGCATTTATCACTGTTTATTTTTTTCCTTTTGCTGGATTTTGATTTTGGGGATAAATTTGTAAAAACACTAATTTTCTGAAACTCTGCAAGTTCTGTGCTTCAATCATATGTCTCACTGACATTTGAACAACCACGGTAAATTCTCTAAAAGGTTATTCAAAGCTTACTTTAATTTTGTAGATAGATATATAACCCAAGCTACATACAGTATGCCTACCAATCCATGGACAAGGAGACTGGTATGTGTTTTTTCTTTAATAACCAAGATCAGATCTGGGGTGGGGAAAGTATTTTAAAATCCTATGTGCTAGGCAACAGGAAACTAGAGAATATTTTCAAATGTCTAACAGTTCATACAGCTAGATTTCTGGTGTCATTTCAGCTCTGATCGAGGAATAAGATAGGCCATGAAACTTTAGCCATGATCGCTGTATATTTTCTGATTAAGAGTATTGGCTGGCAGAAAGCCCTGATGGTCTAGAATCTCCTCCACTTCACTTCAGAGCCATTCCCAATCCCAGGAAAGTTTATTCTCAGGGTTAAGGAACTTGTGCATACTAATAGCTGCACCAGTGAGGTGGTTCTAGTGGGGAGAGAGAAGAGAATACGATTGCCCTTCTTTGCCTATTCCATGAGCAGCAAAGAAATAACAGAGCAATTTCGCCCTCTTCTCCTTCTCCACTTCAGCTGCCCAACTAGTGCAGCTATTAGTACACACAAGTCCCTCGACCCAGGGAAAAAACCTTCCCAGGATCAGAAACAGCACCAGAGGGAGGGGAGGGGAGGTGAGGGAAATCCCACAATCCCTGCATCCATTGATCATAGGATCCAACTCACTGGATCAAATCCTCCACACAAATGCTGAAAGAACTTTCAAACACAGAATCTTCTGCATAAAAATTACTTAATGTAAATAACAAACCTCTAGTTTATCCACCTTCATATAGATATTATTCATTTCTATCATCTTGGCTTTAATGAGTGGAACGGCCTCATCCAGGAGCTGGGATGTGTCGCTTCTAATCTGTATAGGCAAGGGGGGAAATATGTCAGAAAACACTTTCAGTAAATTTCAGAACACCTTTCACTCAATCGTTTAGAAACAACTACTGCTGTTTTATTTATACCATTACTTTCTACAGAATGTTCAGAATAGCTTACATGTATAATGAAACTGAAGCTCAAATACTTTGGCCACCAAATGAGAAGGGAGCACTCACTGGAGAAGACCCTGATGCTGGGAAAGATTGAAGGTCAAAGAAGACGGGGACGGCAAAGGATGAGATGATTAGACAGTGTCATAGATGCAACGAAGATGAAACTGAGCAAACTTCAGAGGACAGCGGAAGACAGGAGGGCCTGGCGGGATCTGGTCCATGGGGTTGCGAAGAATCGGACTCGACTGTGCGACTGAACAACAACAACAAATCTCCCAATGGTCTCCAATGCAGGCAAGCATTCAGTTAATTCTCGTTGAACTTCAACAATGTCAAGTGCTCCCCAGCCCTGATCTGGATAGCCCATGAAAACCTGATCTTGGAAGCTAAGCAGGGCCGACCCTGGCAAGTACTTGGATGGGAGACCTCCAAGGAATACTGGGGTAGGGAATACAGAGGCAGGCAATAGCAAGCCACCTCTATGACATGTCCTAGCCCCATTAGGGGTCACCAGAAATCAACTATGACTTCCAGGCACACACACACAAAAATACTCACCAAAAAACAACAATTTCAAGAGCTCCCTAACCTCCCATTGTGTCCAAGTCTGCCTTACATGTGTGACAAGCCCTAGGCCACAGCTACCATGAACCTGGGTCCAATGTGTACTCCTGTCCCTTAGCCTTGCTTTCCCTCTCCCCTAGGTCTACTCCCCATTTCACATCCTCCCCACTAGGTCAACTCCCCTCTTCCCTGGCCTTCTCCCTCAAACCTTTTAAAAACCGTAGCCATGACTGGGGCATGTGCAGTAACCTCACACTACCAAAAAGCCCTACAGGAGAATGGACAGTCCAGGAGAGACAATGGTGGCCTTGTAGCAATCTACTCACAGCCATTCCCCTTTTTTGCTCTGAGAGTAGAGGGCTGATTGACAGGTGGCTATTTGACAAAGGGCTGGTGCCTTAAAGGGCCAGTCATCACTGATCAGCTAGCTAGCATGTGGCTCTTTAAAGCGTGCCTCTGCAGCCCCAGAGGGCCTAGTACCGGAGGCTAACAAAGAGAAAAGGGTCTGGAGTTGTCCCCACCATACCCTGACAATGTGTTTAGTATAAAAAGAACCCCGCAGAACAGAAATACAAGAAATGTTTAAACAGTGTATGGCTTTCCTTAGCTTATGTCATGTATAACATATCCTCAAAGCGGTCCAATAAATAATGAGCAAGACTCAAAATGCAAGAGTCGGACTCGACTGTGCAACTGAACAACAACAAAGACTCAAAAAAGCACATTTAATTTTACACCATTAGAAGCTGAACTAGAAAAGATTATCACAGCCTCCATTTTATATCCCACTAACCTAGATAGTTGTTTCTGCTGTACAATATTTCAAATTATTGGTTGGATGACAACAAAACTGAGCAGGGTTAAAAACTGACCCTGAATTGAACAAAGATAAGCAAGTGAAGGTTGATTTTTAAACTTGAAAGTGGAGAAAGAAAACACCCCAAAAGCCATTCAGAGAGCTAATGCAAGTATATTTAGTAAAAATGCAATCTGCAGATGTAGACAAAACAAGAGATTAATCAACTGAATTACAGCGAAAGAAAACTATCGTCACAACAAGGACAAAAGCAGCCATCTTCATCTGGACAAGAAACAGAGCCGCTTTTCAACCCATAGAACAGCAGATTTATTTTGAAGCGTAGTAAAGACCCATAATAGCAAAGGTGCTGAAAAGGAATCAGCACGTAATAATGAAAGCAAATGCTTATTTTGGCACAGCAAAATCATCAGCCAAAACCTGACCCATCCCTTCCATGAAAGTTTAAGCAAGGTAAACATTAGATTATTTCTACCTTGATATATGCAGTTTTCTCAGCAGCGTTAAGAAAGATTCTGGAGTCCTGCAGGATACACTGATCATAAGCCTCTGTCTTCCTAAGCAAGAAATCCAGGCTGAATAACACTCCCCCCTCCCCTCACTAACATGCCTATTAAGGAAGTAATGTGTAACAAATCCTTTCTTTCTGTTAGGATGAGAGAGAAAAGGCAGAGAGAAAGAGCACATGTTCCTGGCACGTGGAAATAAGGTAAAATGGGAAAGGGCCCAATAATTATCCTAGACTTCTAGCTTCACTGTCTTGCTGAAGGGCTCAAGAGAACAGCTGTCAATAGAAAATGCCAGTTGTTCCATTAAATTTCTAACCCGCATCGCCTAATAAGAAAATAAAAGATTCAAACAAAGTTCAACTTCACACTGATTTAACAATGATACTCCCACGAAGGACAAAGCATGTAGAGTAAAAAGCATGTCATGAGTGGCAGACTGCTGTCCCAAAACAGTTTGCTCCTCTACGGTACCGACAGTATCCCTATGATCCTAACTAAGGGGATAAGCATGAAATTACATTCAAAAACACTATATGGAAATTTGTCAGCATTAATTCAGTAAATTGAGTGCCATGGTCAAAGGCTAGAATTAAGCCAAACATGGCAATTCAGGATCCAACTTTGCTCCTATGAGGTTTAGAAAAAAATGTTCTTCGTTGCATGAAGTTTCAGAGGATACAGTTCACGTGGCAGACGCTTTTAGGCAAACCCTAAATTGTGCTGGTTAATCTTGCACAACTGCTGTTTTGGTTAAAAGAATAAGGAATGAATCATGGTCCTGGAGAACTATACTCACCTACAAAATCCTTCTATCCACTGTCCTATTTTAAGTTGTGCTTTGTTCTTCTAAAAATGCAAGCACATAGTTCCAGAACTGAACATTCAAATGAGTTATAGTATGCATTTAATTGGTATTGTTGTTAGACATTCAGTCGTATTCAGCTCTTGGTGATTCTATGGGCCAGCTCTCTCCATGTCTTCTGATCTTGTACTGCTTCTTTGAGTTGTTCCATGCTCAAGCTGGTGTCAACTTTTATGGCACCTAGCCACTGTGTTCTTTAGCAGCCAGGTTTCCTAACTAATCCAAGCATAATTGCTTTTTCTTGTGAGTTCTTCCGCATGAGATGGCCAAAATAAGTCAGTCACAATTTTGTGATTTGTCCTTCCAATGGTGTATCTGGTTTTATGTGCTCCAGTACTTGCTTGTTTGTCACCTTTGCTGTCCAAGGAATGCACAGGAGCCTTCTCCAGCACCACAGCTCAAATGAGTCGATATTCCTCCTGCCTTGCTTCTTCATGGTCCAACTTCGGCAGCCATAGGTTGCTATGGGGAACACAATAGCACAAACTAACCTGCACTTGGTTGCTAGGCTGATGTCCTTGCTCTTCCATTGCTGTGTAACCCAGTGTGATTTGATGTTTTATTTCTGGACTGTATTCGCCGTTTTGGTTGACCTGTGATCCTAAGAAAGTGAACTCTTCCACACATCTGATCTCTTCATTATCAACTGTTATTCTGCCGTTTCTATTCTTCTCGGTGGTCATAAACTTGGTCTTTTTGATGTTTAGGAAGAGGCAAAACTTCTCACTTTGTTCCTTGATTTTCTTGATCAGGTATTCCAGGCCTTCTTTAGTTTCCAAGAGTAGGGTTGTGTCATCAGCAAATCAAAGATTGGAGGAAGGAGTATCAACAATCTTCACCCTGATTTTCTACTCTTCCAGCTTTAACTTCCTCATGATTGTTTTGGCATACATGTTGAATAGGAAAGGTGAAAGAATGCAACCTTGTCATACTCCTTTCTCTATCTTGAACCAATCAGTATCTCCATACGGTGTTTGCACAGTGGCTTCCTGGTTTGCATACAATGATTGTATCAACTCAACCAGATGTGCTGGCACCCGCAGGTCCTGTAGGGCTCTCCACAGTTTGTCATGATCATCACGGTCAAAGGCTTTCTTGTAATCAATGAAGAATAAGTTGATTATATTTTTATATTTGTGAGATTTCTCCATGATCTAGCGCAGATTTGCTATATGGTCACAAGTGCCACACCCCCTTCAGAAGCCAGCTTGAACATCTGGTAATTCCCTTTCAATGGTTGGTGCCAAGCATTGTTGTATAATTTTAAGCAGAATGTTGCTAATGTGAGGGATGGGAGCGACTGTGCGATAATTGGAGCAGTCTCTGGAGTCTCCCTTTTTTGGTAGTGGAATGAATACTGAGGGTTTCAAGACTCTTGGCCATGTGTTGGTTCCCCAAATTTTCCGACACAAGGCTCTGATGACTGCGGGTGGTACAGACCTCAGCATTATGCCCATTCTCGACCACTACCACTCCTGCCCTCAAAGCAGCAGAAGGGCATTTAGTACAGCTAAGATGCATTGTCCAAGAACTCATTCACTACATCTCTTTTCATTTCAGTTTGTCTCAGTCCAAAACTATTCATTATGATAGAGATAGCTGCTGCAAATGTATCTCCTTCTATAACATCCGCCACAGTTTGGCCATAACCTCTCATCACATCTCATTACAGAGAAATGCTCAACGCTGTTACATCAGAACACAGGTAAGTTGTAGTGCACTTTACAGAAAGGGGAACAGGTACACGACTGCTTACGTACATCATATTGTCACAGTTCAGACTGTCCCAATATTAATCTTCCAGATCAGCTGAACATGAACAACTGCAGCCCTGCATTAATGAAGCTTCAACGCACAAAAAAATTCAAAATACAAATGCTACTGGAGAATTTTCAAGCAGGCAATGACAATGCTGAGCAAGGTGTTGTTTTTTAAGCCCTCCTGAGGAGTTAAGCGATTAAGATGACATTAGAAAGAGTTATGTAGCAAATGGTTGAGTGTACAGATTCATAGTGGGTCTATGTAAAGTGCACCCATACCAGACTCACTGAAATTTAGCCCTGTGACAACTTAAAGGCAAGAGAAATTCCAAATAATATTTCCATCTTACCTCTC